ATTGCTTCATTTAGCTCACAGCTTCATTATATCTCTCACACTAACATAAATACTGTTTATTATTATTAAACTTATTATTTAGCGCATTTAGTATGTTATAGTGTAGCACGACGTGTGCGTGTGCCTCGTTCTATAAACGGCAATATTAGAACTGGATCAGATTGTGTCTCTTTCAACACAGATGTCGGTCACAGCACCTGGAATCTGACGTAGATTAACTACAAGATTAAAAATATATTCCATCAGTCGTAGTTCAGAAAACACTGTGTCCGCCGCCATGTTGATTGAAATATGCCATCTGTCCGCGTATGTAGTTTAACACAAAGCCTCAGCGGGAGATGTTTAGATTATCAGCGGGCGGTCAGCGAAAAACCTCCACTCTGGAAGGTGGGTTCAGAAACCTCCGGATTCAAAGAGGGGGGCCACTGGTGTCGTGCAAATGATCAGCAGAACCACAGAGAAAAAGCTGCGGATTCGCTCAAAATACGCGCCGTGTAAACGGCCCCTAAAACACTCTAAAAAATAAAATGGGGAGCAGTGGCCCTGCAGCCCACACATCAGACCAGCCCACTGGGAAATATCCAGACCCTCCCACAGCAACGCCAGGCCTGATTTTATTTCTCTTGTGACAAATTCCCTCGTTTTTCACAATTTCAGTCATGGCGTCAATAGACAAGGAGTAAGAGATCATTTGTCTCTTGGGAAAAACAAAAACAAAAGAGAAGGCCATTAAACCAGACCACGGCTGAAGAAGGGGAATTTAATACATTGGTGTGGCATACAAAAAAGTCTTGTCGCCGGGCAGTTTATTGTGCAACACCGAGTTTGCGTACGCGTCATTAAAAATTGATCTTTGCGTGGACATACCCTGCAGACGTCCACTTCGAGTCCACGTTTAGTCTAATCGGGTTCGCACGGACCTCTGTGGAGTGAAGTACGCTCAAGTATGTGGGAGCCTTTAGAGTTACCAATCAGCCTAACATCAGGGTTGGGCATCGTTTGAATTTGATTCTGGTTCTGATTCCAATTCATCGTTTCGATTCCAGTTCCGGTTGTTTTTAGAGGCGGGTTTAAAAAAACAATTGTTTTCATTGTATAAATAAGCTAGCTCAGAGTTTTTTCTGGATTAAATAATTTGAACTTCTATTTGAATTTTAGTTCTATGAGCTTTTTACTTTTTATTAACTTTACTCAGCGGGCAGCTTCTTCTTCTGGTCGGCAGACTAGCATTGAAAGTGGGAATCAAAAATAAAAAATTTGAACGATTCTGGGAGAACCGGAACATTAGTCCAAGTTCTAATCAATTCTCGAGACTCGATACCCAACCCTACCTAACATGCATGGTTTTGGTCTGTTGAAAGAAACCGGAGAACCCAGAGAAAACCCACGCATGCACAGTAGGAACATATAGACTCCACCCAGAAAGACCCCAGTCGGGATTTGCTCCGGCAACATTTTTGCTGAGAGACGGCAGCTCTACCAACTGCGCCACCATGCCACCTTAAAAAAATTTTAAATTCCTTTTGAATATGTAATTTTTCATCAGCCATTTATCCAAGTTAAACTTCTCTTCAGGTGAATAACCTCTCCCTAACTGTAAATGACTGAAATATATTCCTTCAGTTTATCTAACTTCCATTTACTTTTTACCATGACGGTGATGCTGAAATTTAGCACCAAATAGACCACAAGGTGTTTTGCATCTGATATAAATTCCCACCCAGCACGTCCACTTCTCGCTGCAATGATCACTACGCAGTAAACCTCCGCCCACGTTTTGCTGCCTCCCACATTTAAAATCAAAATAAAGCTGGGCTTTTACCTTGCTTTATTTCATTTCAAACCACTTTTTTTTCCTCCCCTCTTTTCTGCTGATGCCTAATATGTTTAAACAACTGGATTTCATCGGTGGCAGACTTTTAGCCACTTTAGGCAAGTGCCTTCACCAAATGTCAGCACAGCAGCTTCTGCGATGGTTATACACTGATCCAGACACGTCCACTCTCAATCCTTAAAATGTTTATTTTGTTCAACATACAGTACAATAAAATGTTTTGAGTTCAGAGGATGTAGTGTTTGTTGGTAATTAAACATTTATTAGCATCCGCTGCCAAAGCTGTGAGCAAGATTTCACAAATCTCACCAGTTCACAAAAAAAGCCATTCACAAGGTTTGTGCAAAACTTGTATAACTCCAGTCCATCTCAGCGTAAGTTGATTTTAGCTTAAATCTTTGAAATAAAAGACAGCAGGCGATATGCATTCCTTCAAGGGTTTCTAGGTCTTTAATTTCAAGATTTGCTGCAAGTGTTGACAGCGATGACAAATCTATTTGTTCCTCACGGCTGTGGATTGTAACTCAACTGCCAACCTTAAAAGTTAATGCTTAGGGATGATGACAGGCTGCATTAGAATCATTTGGGTGAATGTAAGGTGTGCTTCTATTACAATCTGCAAGTCAGCTTTGCTAAATCCCCACCTGTGCAAAGCACGAACATTCACCACAGAGAATATGATTTCCAATGGAAATATTTCCAGGGTAGGTAAGCCATAAAATTGCAGTTGCCGGTGTTGAAAGCTTTTGTCCCACAGTTTTGCAGGTGGAATTTACATATATTAAGCCTAGGAAAACAAGTGAGATTCATGGCTGACAGTGGCAAGAAAAAGCGGTTCGCTCTCCCCTCCGTTTGCTTCCCTCCCTCCTTCCTCTCTCCATCACACAGACAGCTCTGCTTGTTCATGGCTGCTCATGTGTGGCAGCAGAGCTGGATGGAAAACATATTGCTCCATCAATCACGTTCCATTCTTCTCAGCCGCACACTCAACTCCGAGACTGACTTGAGGCCACGCTGAACTGTGTAAAAATGCAAGGATGACAGATATTCATCCAAACGCATCGACTGTAACAAACTGCATCTGTTTTGATGACCTGATCTCTTTCAAATGATGTTCACCCCATCGTGCCAGTCCCTCGACGAACACTGGGTTGTCTTAATACACTGAGTGCCGAGAGTCCTCCGTGTTCAAAGGAAACCCTCCTTCTCCCCAGCGTTTTGCTGGCAGATCAAATGAAAAGACAGGGTGAGAAGGAGGAGGAAGATGTCTGTTTTTATCAATGTCTTGTTGATGTATTCAGGAATTTTTGTCTTTCAAGTCTTTGTTTCAGCACATACAAAAAAAAGGACTAAAGCACGGAGAGCTCTGCCATGCCCACACTCACAGTGCAAAGAAAACTCTTTCCTCTCCCTTTATCTTGGCTACAGCTGTAGCTGCTGGCACCGCATACATCACCTGTATGTACTCCACATAGTATTTGGTATAGGGTTGGGTGAATGTGTTGACCAATGGAGTTCTTTGGCAAAAGGTACTACCTAGTTTAACGTTAATAACACATTACCATTAAATATCCAAAGAAATTTTGTAAAAAGACAAAGTTGCTATAATCTTAAGGGGATAGAGATATTTGTCAAACCACAATTAAGAACTAGTCTGAAGGGAAGGTCTACCTCAATCCAAGGAGTTGGATTGTGGAATGGTCTAGAGAGTGATGTTAAAAATGCCAAGTCAATGTGTACATTTAAGAAAAAGATCAAAGCTGGATTGTTAAAAAGGTATATATGAAGTAGCTTAGTGTGTGTTTTTTATTAGAATTAGAAAAATTAGAAAGAGTTATTCATTTTGTTCTGTTACTTGGAAATTATTATGATTGAAATAATTGTTTGAAAAAAGGGGCAGATATAAGATTTTTTCTTCTTTCTGCTGCCTTTCATTTTAAATCTTTTGTATCTTTCTTTATATTGTTATGGAATTGTTTTGTACCTTTTTAAAATGAATAAACTTTATACCATACCATAACAATCTGGCAAAATGAAGCTGAATCATAGAGTTTATCTCACGGATCAACAGGTAGATTCAGTAATTCCCGTGACACATAGTGCATGGCGTTTTGCCATTGTATGGCCAAACATTCATTGATGGTATCCTTATCAATGAAATTCTGCAGATTCACGCTTAGATTTCCACCCAAATATCTTCTTGATTCCACATTTGTCCAGTTCAATAATATTTGCTTACCTACTCAAACTACAGCCAGCCTAGTGTAGGTCAGACACATGACTCAAACTTCCACATGGTTTTTAGCAAATTCAACCATTTAAACGTTTTCAGACAGCACCGTTTGATTAAGTTAGGACAATATTTTTTGTGTTTGATTTAATAGTTTGCAATGTCGACTTATAATTTGTGTAAACTGTAGCTTTAGTCTGCTTAAACTCTTGTTTTAATTGTAGCATTTGCCTGTTTTTTTAATTCAATTCAGTTTATTTATATAGCGCCAAGTCATAACAGAAGTTGTCTCAGGGCACTGAACAGAAACATTCATATAAAAATAGCAAGTAAACACTATTTATCTGAGGAGCAGACTGCTTTGAATTTAACTCCATTGCAAAAATCTCATCTTGAGCAAGTACAAGTTTAGTACAAGTTTGAGACTGAACAAATCTGACTGAATGATGTCAAAAGCAGATTGCAAAAGCTGAAAAACCTTAGCAACTGCTTTAGCTCGACAGTAAACAACTGTATCATCAGCATAGAAATGTAAGGATGCATCATGGATGATCTGACCTACATTACCTATGTAGATTGTGAAGAGGGTGGGTCCCAAGACTGAGCCTTGTGGCACACCATTGTTAACGTAAGATGTTCTTGAGAGTTTTGCACTTATAAATAAAATGCATATCATTAATATCCAAGGATTCAATGTCCGTTATCGTCATTCACATCACGTGGTACATGAGGTGGAACGAAACTATGTACACAAGGTCCCAGTTACACCCAACAAAAATACAAATTGTAAAGAAAAACAGTAGTAAGATCCAAGACATGAAATAAGAAATACACTAAACTAAGCATACATTAAGCACTAATAGTACAAAACAATGCGCCAAACAATACTATTGTTATTTAGAAGACAGTGCGATATCAGAATGACAGGACACTTACTGGTTTTTCTCTACAGCCAGGAGCAGCCGCTCACCTTTCACCTCGACCAGAAGCTTCAGCGATGTAGGGTGATTCTGAAAATTTGACAAAAGTGGCAAGGAGTGAGACAGCTTCCATCTAGAGTTAAACAATCAGGCACCTTAAATGAAGAAGTGTTAGCTGGCACAGTTCAAAATTGACTAAATAAATCAAATCGTGCCGTGCGAGGCTGTGGAGTATCTCGTAAAAAGCTTGTGGGTGGGAGCGAACTGCTCCAATCTCGCTGAAACTTTGACTGAGCCACCCAGCGTGGTGGGGAGAAAAAAAAAACATCCACGAAAATGACTATTTTCAATTGATGAGAAATCTTTGTCAAGTTACTTTGTATCTTAGAACAAGGGCTGAGAGGATTAGCTTTGTGTTTCTGTTCCTTTTGACATTAATCCTGCAGAAAGTCGTGAGTATTCACAGCCCAGAGTCACAGAGACCGCATGCCTCTGTTAGAGTCAGATGAAGTGGCGCTGCGTCGTATATACACATCATTTCTGTCAGTCACAATGTGCAACACACACACACACAACCTTTCTCCTCTCATGTGCTGCACTCACTAAGGCACAGAGACACAAAAAGTCCTCCTGTGTTTTGTACTTCCTATATTTCTGGGCCACACACACATTTAACACATGAAGTTCAATCTGGGTCAGCTCCAGCAAAAAGCACCGTTCTGGGTTAAGTCATCCATCACCTCTTGTGAAAAGCGAATGTCAAGTGGATCTTAAGAGGATGTGGAAGTGCAACACTTAAGGTTAAAGGGAGCATGAGCCTATTTTCCATCCAGACATGTTTCCATGAGCGATTAAACTCGCATGCACAACAATGTTAACAATCATCGAGAACACAGATGCTGCATTGCTCAACGGATCTTTAAATTATTATTGCCCACTGCCAAATGCAAAAAGCAGGCCGTGATGTTTTTGCTCATGTCTGCGTCTGTTGGCAAAATACATAATAAACCACTGAATGGATTTTTATGAAACGTTTAGGAAATATTAATTAGATTCAACTCAACTGATTAATCTTTCGTGCCAGCCCAATTTAGAATGGCTGCCACAGCCACCTAAAAAAAAAAAAAAAAAGGCTAAATCTTGGTCAGTTTCATAAATATTAAGCCAAAATTATATGTACTTACAGTTGAGAGTCACTCATAGTCATTCAACTTCTGCATTACCTGTTTGAGTCAAACCTGTTTGTCTGTTAGCAAAATATCTCAGGAACCACTGAATGAATTTGAATGAAACTCTCAGAATGTATTCGTTGGATGTACATCTATAACTCAACACCTTAAAGAATGAATACAATTGAAGCTAGCCACTACAGCTAAATGACATTAACCAACACAAAAATGGCAATAACTTGGTCAGTTTTACTTATACCTAGCTAAAATTTGATGTGGTAGTGGATGAGTCATTCCCAACAAAAGCTCTGTGCATGGCATCTTGCATTATTGCATGAGTTTGGGCATAACGTTAGAACAAAACCTCAGGTGATCTGCATTCCCTTTAAGGAATTATAAGAAGTTATGCATTTAAATGAGCACTTAGATTCACCTTTGTTACAAGTTTTCTCTAACTGACTGATCAGAGATTTGTTTTGTTTTTGTAATATAATCCCAAAGAAACCTTGTAGCAACTTGTCTGTTCGGGTAGACCAGAACAAATTAATTCACAAATGAATTGAGTTAATAACACAAACTAGACGCTCGGGTTTTTATCTTCCTGCATCTTTATTTATACAGTCTGGGATTAGAACAACAAAACAGCCATTCAACTGTCAGTGGGTCAGATTGTGTTTACTTCTCATGATGTTGCCGAGCTGTCTGCACTTCAAACAGAAACTCAAACTAAAAAGAATACTGACCGATGTTGCACAACTTTATCCGGACTAAAAGCTGAACTTAAGAGCACTGGTGGTCTTGGTGTAAGCCAGATTTATTATGTTTTGTAATATATTGTGTATAATAATTAGAGATGCACCGATCCGATACCAATATCGGTATCGGTCCTGATATAAAAATTAAAAAAACTTCTGGATCGGGTATCGGTGACAATGTGACCGATCCATGACTGGGCAGATCTAATCACTCTAATTCTATGCTTTGTGCTCTGAGTGACGTCATGTGCTAGCGAACTCACCGCACAGATTGTTTTCAAAATGGAGCGAACGAAAGGATCAGCCATCTGGAACTATTTCACACTACCTCAGCCAACACATTCGACAGCTACGTGCAATACGTGCACAGGGACGGTTCCAGGGGGTGTCAATAAAACTTCCAGTTATAACACTACCAACTTAATCAAGCATCTCCAGAGATTTCACCTTAAAGAGCACGCTGAGTTTGTTGAAAGGAATTCAGCACTGTTTTCCTGTATCAGGGTGGTATCGGATCGGCATCAACCTTCGGATATTGGTATCGGAAGTCGAAAAAGTGGATCCGTGCATCCCTAATAATAATGTGTGTGCGTGCATGTATGTGTCAATTACCAAAATATTGTGGGTTTTAATGAAACTTTCAGAAGAAATGTCAGGTCAGGAAGGACCCAAGGATGCAGACCACAGAAAGACTGGTTTAATCACAAATAAGGATTTTATTTACAAAATAAAAGGCTCCCAGGACAGCAAACAAAATACAAAGATGACTAATCTTTGTGCGAGAACCGGCGCGCAAGAACCAAGCAGGTAAATAACAGGATGACAGACTGATGAGTAGTCGAGAACTTGGAATTAGGTAAGCTGGGAGGAGTGATTCGAAGTGAAGACCGAAAAAATTAATGAATACGGCGTAGGTGAGAATGGTTTAAGATATAAAAATGGTTTATTTTTTAGATATCACTTACATAAAACACACCAGTGGCCTATTTCTCTGAGCATTTTTATGTAAAAATCCTGAAATGTGGTAAGAGTGATGATGATGTCACTGGTGCCATGGCCAGACTTTGTTTTTCTCATGTGCTGTAGCCTTTGTTAGAAATAACGTTTTAAGGCAAAATGCATCGGGACAAAGAGCAGGTTAGAAGTCACTTTGTTTATTAGCGCAAATAGAAGCAGAAAAGTATCAAATTTGAAAAAATGTCGGAACACAGTGTAGGTCTAATGGATGGCCAACCATACCAGTACAAAGCTGAACCAATAGCTGGATCTTGGGATTGAAGTGAAGACTCTTGGTCAGATGTGGAGTTTGATGACCATGAAGATCTTTATGACTGACATGATGACGATTCTAAAAATTGGGTTTGTAATGTTAAATGTTGAAAAATGATTTTCCCCAGGTCCTTTCCATTCAAAGAATTTAGAGATTTTGCCTCATAATATTCAGAATTTCTATTATGGGAAAATAAAAGGCAAGGCGCCATGCAAATCCGGTAGAAGCAGATTGTTGTAACATAATATCATTGTCATAGTAACTGTGATAAGGAGCTGACTCTTGTACATAATTGATTAACTTTTTTACAAAGGGCACTTTACCACTGTCTCAACTCTCACCGGTTCTGCACCACACAGTACCAGTTAAGGGCCTGTTCATTGCCGGTACCCACCCCCACTCAGCCTGGTTTATCCCTGTGACCCTGTGTACATAATTTCGCTCCACCGCATGTACCACATGAGGTGCGAATGACAATAAAGAAACTCTGACTCTGACTTTATGGGACCATCTTGTTTGAAGTTCCAAGCGGACCGCTCCGAGGTGGCAATTTTGACATAAGCAGACAGCAGCTGTTGATTGGCCAGAGGAGCAATGTAACTGGATGAGCCACCCAGCAGAACTGCAAACTAGATCTGAACCTCCATTTCCTCTCTGATCGTGCTGACGAACAGCGCCACAAGAAATGAGCACATTTACAGAGAGAGATCAGAGATGATGGCGCCACATGGCTACACCTGGACCTATAAGCAGTGCCGAGGTAAACTAAAGAAATTGAAGTCAGATTATAGGGTGATTTAAGGACCACAATGAGCGGAGTGGCTTGAACACAATGACCTGTTACGATACTGCCCACTTTGCATTGACGATCCCGCCCACAGAGTGGGGAAACAACTCACAGTGGCAAATCACCTACACCTGAGAAGACCTGATGAGACTAGAGCTGAGTGGAGTCGCACTTATCAATGGCAAAGCGGCTTTAGTTATCTCTATTTTTTATTTTCTTGCCTCTTTTCTTTCCGTAGTGAATGTTTCACTGAATATATGGGCTGTTTGGGTTTGGGACACTCTTGCCAGTTGTTGAAAATAGTTGAATAATAGGTAATATAATAGAATAATAGATCACCGGTCTTTGGGTTGTACTTTTCATGATAGTAACCTAATCCATAGAACTTTCTCGTCTATCAAGACGGTGAAAAATAAATCACCTTTTCTAGTTTTGGTCGGTTTTCACAATTAAATGCAGCGCACTGAATTATTTCTCTCACGGGCTCTCCGCATTCATGCACTACTGTTTCACTACTTGAGTTTGGGATCCTTTGTTTGTTTGGAACTGATGACGTACATTTCTAGGGTGATCATGGAAAAGGCAGAAGAGATCTGTGTAGTGTTTTTTGATTTTTTAATATTAATTTAAAATTAGTGTGATTATTGTGACACCTTTTTATGAAGTTCTTTCAATTCATGTTAGATTTAAAAAAATTAATTTCACCTTTAACTGATGACAGGGAAGACTATGTGAAAATAGCTGATTTTTTCTTCTTCATTGATCATTGAAATTAAACATAAAAGTGGATTCATTAAACCGTAGCCTTTGGTAATTTGCCATCCAATTTCAAAGGTGATGCTGGAGAACCTTGATTAGATACAGTTTAGTTGTGATTTCAGTCCAAATATAATTACTTTTTGCTTCAATCAACCCTAAGTAATTTTTTTTGTGTTGTAATATTACCCAAAATTTAATCAGTTACATGTTGGAAACACTGAATACCAGCAAATGCCATAAAAACAATCCTCCCAGTTCTGTCAACCTCTTAAAGTCTGTACTGCCTTGGAAATAGTACAAAGACCAAATATTGAAAATTGTTTGGAAAGCATGTCTATTTTGATTCGAAGCCAGTGTGATGTTTCCAAAAAGCTTGGGAAAAAGGGAATACTTTTCCTCTGTGTTTCATCAGCTCTTCTTTGAACAAATTCAACATGTTTTACAGCATTCTGTTCTTTTGAGAACGAGGGAGATTGTAGGATCTCATGCACAAAGAACTTGCGTTATTTATGAACTTCATATCATATGCTAATTTATATCCAGATGTTGTGTGCCAACCTTTTATTCCTGCATCATTCAGGATTTTTTTTTTTTTTTACAGATTTGACTCATGAGAGTTGCCCATTTCACAAACCTTACATGCTTTCTACTTAGAAACACATTGTGGCAATGTAGGGTTGAGCATTTTACTCAAGGACACCAAACCAGTACTATAACTGTGGTTTGAATTACAGAGAAAGGGATGGTTTGACCCCTGCAATTAAGATTTAGACCCTCCCAAAAAAGGCAAAAACAACAGGTTGGGGGTGGGTTTGAATATTTAAGTGCCATATTATTTGCAATCATACATTCTACACATCAGTTCTCATATTTAAACATGGATAAACTTGATATTATGATTTTGGGCCCCACAGAAGATTATACCAACTTATATCGCTGCTGTTCCATGAACCTCCCTCCCCTGTCATTTATAGCATTAGCTGAAGCTCCTGTCCTGAGTGCCTGTCTTAACACTTTAATAAGACAAACACAAATCAGCAGGGAGTAAATATTCTATTTAATCATTTTTTATTATTATTTTAGAGTTTTGTAAATATGTAGGTTATCTGATGGTAGAAATGAATTTGAACCCTTTTTAAATACGAGTTACGTAAACAGCTTTACCTGTCAGGACTCTCTTTGATGAGATGTTTCCTGAATAGTGTTTCCCCAATGCAACACCTGACATAGAAAAAGTAATTAATTTATTCATTTGCATTTTGGTGCCTCTATATCAGGGGTGTCAAACCCACTTACAAAAGTTGGCCAAAATTAAAACCTTTTTCAAATTAAGGACCGGTTTCAGAATCTACATTAACTCAAGTTAGATACCTAACATCTTTTCTTGGTCACAGGTTCCTCAACAAGAGCTTGATTGGTCTCATTTGACATTCTCTGTTGCACTTTTGACATTATAATCAAACATTAGTGAAAAAAAGTGATAAAAGTATTTTATATTTAAAATCGCATCTTGGGGGCTAAGATGTCAACGAGGGCCGCATTTGGCCCCCAGGCCTTGAGTTTGACACATATGGTCTTTATAAACCTAAGAATAAAAAGAGTTATGCGATCCTGTTCATTAGCACCAACAGATAAACTCTGAGTTACCTGAAGCTGTGTTTCATTATTAGATTATTATAGTTTGTTGAACTTTTGTTAAAAAAAATAGAAATGGAAAAAAAACAAGTTGGTTATTATTCATCAAACCTTTCAACCTTTAGTGGAAACACATTTAACTTTTAGAAAAGTTCAAAGAAAATCAGGATTAACCATTTTAATTTTTGAAGTTGAACTTTTTATCTTTTCATATATATATTTTTTTTGTCTGTTGAGCAGAAAGTTGAATCTGGTATTATTATTATAGTATTGGATCATTTTTCTAGTACGCTATTGTTATACAAGCTTTAACGACATTTAATTATTTTTATTCTGAAACAATTTTGTGTTTTTTGCCTATGACAGTGAGAAACAGACCTGATCCAAAGTAGTTCGCTTTTAAGATCTCTCTGTCTTGATGCTGCTGATGTTTGGAACATTGTAGAGTTCTGTTGTGTAATGTCCAGAATATTTTGTTGAAAACATTTAATTACAGACATAATTTTTTTGTTATTCTTTATGTTATCTGATGGACTAAATGTAATTTTTTACTTATCTATAGAAGAAATGACAAACAACAACAAAAAAAACAAAACATATAAAAAATTGTGCTATGTATATAAATATGTATATAAATGGTTTGCATAGAAAAGGACTGCCTTCATTACAGTCACTCTATAATTTACAAACTGCCAGCAACATCATTCATGCAGCATTTAAAAAATATTACTGGGTGAATGTAATAAGAACTAAAGCCTTCTAATTATGACCACTAGACACCTAATTGTAATTGTATATTTAATTTATGCATTTTAGATAACTTAATCTTCAGAGTTCCCCTTTTTAATTAAAGACGGCCTCTATGAAATGTTCTTTTTAGACCCATTTTTCCTACTTGTGGGCAATTTTCCCAATTAGTGGTAAGATGTTGCACATGGGGCAGCACGGTGGCGCAACTGGTAGAGCTGCTGCCTCTCAGCGAGCAGGTCCTTGGTTCAAACCCAGGTCCAGTGGCCTTTCTGGGTGGAGTTTGCATGCTCTCTCCGTGCATGCGTGGGTTTTCTCCGGGTACTCCGGTTTCCTCCCACAGACCAAACACATGCATGTTAGGCTGATTGGTAACTCTAAATTGTCCCTAGGTGTGAGTGAGAGAGTGAATGGTTGTTTGTCTCGTTTGTCTCTATGTGGCCCTGTGATGGACTTGCGACCTGTCCAGGGTGTACCCCGCCCCTCGCACAGTGATTGCTGGACATGGGCACCAGCGACCCCCGTGACCCAAAATGGAATAAGCGGGTAAAGATAATGGATGGATGGATGGATGTTGCACATGCTCCTGGTTCTTTCACATTCAACATATTTCAGTTGTTTTCCACAGTTTTATTTATTTATTTTTATTTGCCTTGGCCCAATATGTTGAAATATGTTTCTGACATCTAATTTAAAGCCAAAATAACATGCATGTTCATAAAAAATAAAAAATACCATGTTTTAAATTTTGACATGATGTCCACACAGCAATGATTTGTTAAACTGTTGTCTTTTTATCTATAATTCACACTATCTTCCAGCTTTCTTGGCATTTGAGAATTTTGAACTATCGTGCAAAAGAGACATGTCATGTCACATAAATCAGAGTAGGAAAAATATTTTTAAGCAACACTTAAAAAACTGCTGGCTTGTTTTGATAATTCTATGGCTGTGTTCAAACTGGTTTGACCAAATATTGGGTCAACACATTTGACCCAGTAGTTGGGTCAGAGATGAGCCGTGTCGTTCTTCACAGTCCTCCCATTTAAAAAAAAACTGAACAAATTTGCTCTGACTGAACCTCTGCACTAGGATATAATAAGTAAATAGAGATGGTGAAAAAAATGAACGCTTGTTGGCTTTGTTAACTTTAGTTTGCACTAGCTGGTGAATTTGGGTTCTTAAAATAAATTAATATTTTAATGTTTAAAATAAGTTATTAAAATAAAATATTGGTTCCTAAAATATTGTAATAGCTTATCTGGGTGTCCAAATACTTTTTAAAAAGTCTTCAGTTAATAAAAAAATGCTGTCTTAACTGGAGTTAGTGGGAGAGATCATATCTCTCCAGTTTTAGCTTCTCTCCATTGGCTCCCTGTCAAATCCAGAACTGAATTCAAAATCTTACTTCTAACCTACAAAGCCCTCAACAACCTAGCTCCATCTTATATTTGAGATCTTATTGTTCCATATTTTCTTAATAGAACACTTCGCTCTCAGACTGCAGGTTTACTTGCGGCTCCTAGAGTTTCCAAAAGCAGAATGGGAAGAAAATCTTTCAGTTATCAGGCTCCTCTCTTGTGGAACAAACTTCCAGTTTTTGTCTGTGAGGCTGGCACATTGTCCAGTTTTAAGACTGGGCTTAAGACTTTCCTTTTTGATAAATCCTATAGTTAGGGTTGACTTGTTATATTGCTATAGACTTAGACTACTGGAGGACAAATTAACCTAATTTCCTTAAATAATTTGCTAAAATTGAATAGTTTTCATTTGATACTATTTCAATCTTAACATGTGATTCTCAACCTGCCATTGTGTATCTGTTCCTCAAACAGATGGCCACTTGTCCTGAACCTGGTTCTGCTGGAGGTTTCTTCCTCATGAGGGAGTTTTTCCTCTCCACTGTCACCTTCATGCTTGCTCAAGATGAGCGTCTGCGATGAAGTTAAATTCAAAGCAGTCTGCTCCTCAGATAAATAAAGTTATTAACTTATTTTTATGTATATGAATGTTTTTATTCAATGCCCTGAGATGACTTCTGTTGTGACTTGGCACTATATAAATAAACTGAAATGAATTGAGTTGAACTGAAAATAGAATTATTTGGTGCTAGCTAGCGGACGCTAATTGCAATTAATGGCAGCTAGCTAGCATCAACCCAAGTTTTATTTATTTAATAAGACCGATTTTAGGTAGTTCCTTTTTAGCTGAACTTTCTAGCTCTAACTCAATGTATTAGTAATTTACACTGAGGCAAAATGATAACTAAACCATAACTAAACTATGTTTAGTTAAAACCACCCAGGGTTGGCTTGGTACAATTTTGACCCAGTTCTGGGTTACAAATTGGGCTGTTTTCCACTCCGCAGTTCTTAGTGTGTGTACTTATGCCCACCTGAGATTTGAGTTGGCTGACTGGTTTCCATTCTTCTCCAACAAGCTGAAGAGGCACTGCTGTATCGTAATGTTTCTGCTTTGCCGTCGCTCCATGTTGAGCAGCTGTCCTCAAAGGATTCCCTGTAAAAGAAAACATGAAAACCAGTGAGAACGCAAAGAAAATTTCTAGAGAGTTTGCTGTGCCAAATTTTCCTCAGGATTTGCAAACAGCACAAAAGAGGGTATATTTTAAACAACACTGATAAATAATTCCTCCTTGCTATTAATCCCACACTCTGTGTTAATTAATAACATCAGAACACAAGCTGACAATTAAGCTGCCTCGTGTGTCACTTTTATACAATTGCAGAGTTTTTTATGTGTCAGGGCTTTAATGTCTCACAGCCCACAAAGAATGCTTTCTGATTGCATTTGTTTTGTCTTGCCTAACAATTATCCATGCTGACACTCTGGGCAAATGTCCACCTCCCTTTAAGAGGCCATCAGTATAATGGTGCCTCTCTTCTCAGCTATAAAGACAAGAGAACACCACTAAATAGTACTCCGAAACACCAGGCGATAGGAGCTGTTGTGTCAAATGAGGAGAGGATGTGTGGATAAGTTTTCTGGACATCTTTATGAACAGTGGGGACAGATTTATATGGGAAAGAAACTGCCAAAAGTTTTGTTGTTTTTTTCACATAGTCATTCTATCACTACAGTTGGCTCTGCAGTTGCTTGGTGGTCAGTGCCATGGTCTTGTAATCCTGAGGTTGTGGGTCCGAGCCCAGGTTGCATCAGGAAGGGCATCCGGATTAAAGCAATTGCCAAATCGTTCATGCGAGTTGGCTCGCTGAGGCGATCCGCTAAGAGGGAGTAGCCGAAACAAACTTATTCTATCAATCACTGCATTCAAAGGTACTCTTCGCAAATTATGAAATCAAACATAAAAACGTTATTCTGATCTGAAAGACAAAAATAACAGTGATCCCTCACCTATTGCAGGAGCTACTTTCCAGAGACCTCCACAGTAAGTGACAATCCGCGAAGTAGCGGCGTTATATTTATTGCATTATTTAGATAGGTTTAAGGCTTTATAAATCATTTCCACACTCCTACTAACATTTCCCACTTTCTGATAAACACTTAAAACACTTAAATACTTTGGTGTTGGCGATAAAGATGATGATGATGAGATGAATGTAAAGTACACACCATATTAAAAAAAGGGTTTAAAAATAAAGTGATACAGTGAAGCCGCAAGAAGTGAACCTCAAAATAGGGAAGGAAGACGGTACCTTCAAAAAATCCAAGTCCATTAGGGTATTTAAAATACTCAGCTCTGGGAAAATATTTAGAGAAAATAATAAAGAAACATTGGCACATTCTGGGCTCTGAGCTGGTGTTTTTAAAATGATAAACTTCCAAAAAATTCATTAAAAATGTTCATCAGATTTGATTTGATCTCCTTCAAAAACATCACTTTCTTAAAGCTTCCATTGAGAAATGATCAATGTGCTCAATACTGTATATTTCCGTACAAAGTACCAATTAATAATAATCCAATCACTGGAAGAGTTGTGAGAGTAAGTGGTACACTTAGGTGGTCAAACCAAAATGTTATATACCCTATGAGATGTCCATGTGGTTTAGAATAGAAAGGAAAAACTCAAGAATCAACACAACCCAGTGGCTGTAGATTTAAAAAATCATCCAGTTACCTCATTGAGATTTAGCGGAACTGAGCTTGTTAGATCAAACTAAACAAAACTGTTACTTCGAAGAATGAGTTTTTATATTTTTACACTGAAAACCTACACAAAGTTGTTGATCAAGAATGGAACATCGTGCAGTTCCTGTAAACTTTAGCTGTTAATATAAAAACCGTGTAGGTTTTCCCAGTCATTCCCATTTTATCAAGGAATTTTTACCAAATATTATGCTCATTTTTGGCACGACGTGTGATTGCAAAATATATTTGAGAGCAATTTACTCGAATGTGTGTAGTGGAATTTGTTTTTTTTAGAATTTGATCAACACTTCCTGGTTCTTACAACCTCATTAAAACAGACTTTATGGGTGTATTCTTTATAGAGAAACTGTTTGATCTGATGTAGATCTGGAAACATTGTCAAATAAATCAGTGCTGCGTAGGTGGAAACATTTTTCTTCATTCATAACTGCTCAAAACAATGAACGGTTGATTGGCACTCAAGTTGAATAAATCTCTATAGTTGAGGAACGGAAAGTTTTGAGCAAAATAAAAAAAAAAAAAGAGGGTTGCTGCTGTGATATCTTCTAACACTGGAGTTGTTTCCAGGATGCAGCATTGGGATTTGACACAGTTGCAGGGCATTGTTCCCCAGCACGCTTTTATCTCCTTACTGTTCTGACAGGGTGTTAACTGAGCATTTGAATGGCTCCAACACACTCGGCTCTGCTGTGTCGCCACTCATTTACGAGTATATTCACCCCAAAATCCATCCCCAAACAACTATGGAATATAAAGCTGTAAGCAGACTCACCCAAAGCAAACTTTTAACAGAAGCAGAATCTCTCTAAATTGTTCAAATCACGAGCAGACGCAGTGGCGAGCCTCTGGAGAGGGGACGATGCAAACAAAGTTTCTGGTGTAATCAGCTTCCTACAGTGGGAAGCTGTTTTTGTTGTTGTTGCATGGGTGTCTCAGAGAACAGCAGGGGTTTTAGTGTCATTTGGTTTACTGCAAACATCCTAAATCAAATGTTGGCTTGTTTTTGTGTGTGTGTTTCCCAGTGATGTGCCGTCAAGCATTTCCAAATAGCAGGGAAGCAAATGAAGTTTGAGGGTCAAGTCAGCTCATTTGGTTCATGAGTAGAATTAATGCCACGTTTTAAACTTTTCTCCATCTTAATTTAATTCATTTTTTGGTGCATGCAAACATAAAAATCCACCCAAGGGAAAACAGCTATTGTAGTTTATTATTGCTAACGGACTGAAGGTTTCTCCAAGCTCATGCTGCTTGTGTCCTCCTTCACATGACTCATCCAGCTAAATTGCTGAGTCTGCTTATAATCCAGAAATAATAACCCAGGTCAAGCGCAACAGCTCCCCAGCTGAGCTTTGCTCTGCTTATTCTCGTGAGGAAACCACTTCTATGGAGTTCATCACAGAGCCATTCCAGCTGATAGCGGGGAGCAAGAGGTGACCAGCTCAGCAGTCTTCACCCAGATCCAGCCTGATGATGAGAAGCAGGCTCCAGTGAGGACGGGGGCAGCATCACGCACACACCACTGAGAGCTGCGTTCTCGCCTCATTAGTCCCAGAAAACCACACCATCTGAGGGAAGCGACCGTGCTGAGTAAGGGAGCGCGAGATGAGCTATGAGAAAAGTACGAACGGATAAACAAATTTCGAGAGGAAAAACACGTTTTTGACAGAGAAAGGTCAGGTCCGCATTGTGGTCGAGCTGGTTTATGAAGCTAACGTGCACATAGACGGAATGGCCACAGTCACTTTTTCAATAAACCGATGATGAGATTCACAATCGTACAGCATTTGAGTTCTTAACTTCAAAGCCTGCAATTGAATAACTATTTTGTTAATGTGGTACGCTGTGTGGTTTAATTCCTGCTCCTAAATGGAATATTAGTGGAAACTTTCTAGATCATTTCTTTTCCACATGCTCAGTGGAGACATTTGGTATAGCTGGGAGACTGTATGAGCAGCGTGTAAAGTGGCTTTTGTTGCTAGAATGTTATAAAAGCAACTGGGAGCATTAAGGGAGCAGTAAAAGTGGCACCAGAACCCAACGCTTTATTTATATGTTCAATAATGGAGAGTGTAAACAGAGGTCTTAATAAAGCAAAGTTCTGGCCATAATCACCTCCCTTTATGCTCCACTGTACAAGGTGAGCTTGTTCGATTTATATGGTCCCAGTAAAGTCATTGCAAGGTAAAAGGACTGTACGGCTCTGTGTGTGGACACGAGGACCGAATGTATCTGCGTGTAGGTGAAAGAAACATGATACAGTTCAGACTGTAAGTGGGTTTTCACTTTGGGACATTGTTGGAAGGAAAACGGTGCCTGTTATCTACTTTTTATATGTACAACAAATGTTATTTTATAGCGCAGCAATATGAGTAAACAGCCGACACAGTACAGCTTGTGCAATAAAATATGTGCTCTATAAATATGACAATTTTTACATTTTTAGGGTATACTAAATATGACATTACAGCATAGGGCCCAAGGGTTGAACCTTGTGTTTTAGAACTAGAGTTGCATTAGGGCCCAAAAAATCTGACCCGACCTGACCCGGCCCCGGCCCGTAGCCATAATTTCCAAACCCCATCCGACCCGACGAATTAACAGTAATTACAGGTTCGAACCTGAGAAAACCCTGACGTTTTTAATTAAGCGTTGACTACTTATATAGTTATGAACGGTTGGAGGACACGCACGGCTAAGGGAGCAGAGGGGGTGTTTGTCCTTTCATGGCCGTCAAAGCGCATTAAATCCCTGATTCTGCCTGCATTCTGCATTATTCAGACACGGACCATGCTCTGACATGTCGAATATTTTGTGATCTCACCTGTTTGGGTCGTCGGCCACGTGCATCCACTGAGTGCAGCGGCTGAATGAATGGCCATTTGGGCTGATGGATCAATGGTAGTAGTACATCTGAAGCTTCAATTAACTTTTTTTTTTTTTTACCTCTTTCAAGCAGGTCAGCGCGTGGTAAAATGGCCATACCAGGTGATGGTATGGCTAGCCATGTTGCCATATAATTTGATCATCAGCTGCACGCGTCCGCTGACGCAATCAAAACCCCGACACCGATCCGGCCCGCACATTATTATGGCCCGGTCTGACCCTAATCCGGAACGGGCTGGGTCAGACTCTGGGTTCGGATTAGAAATTACAGCTCTAATTAGAAGATTAGGTACAACATGATGCATTTGTGTTTAAATGGGCAAAATGTTTGGTTAAAAACTCAAATATTTTAGACAATTTAATATGTAAGTAAAAATAGCTGAAATATCATATTGATAAAAATTGATAATTTACCTAGTTTTAAACTCATCTACCCTGAATTATCTATTGTCATTGTGGGTTCCCTTGTGATTAGTTAAGGTATTTATCTATAATTGTTTGGCAG